ATTTTCCTGGGCACCCCTTGCCCTGGACCTCTTTACAGTGTCATGCAGTCCTGGGTAACGATACTTGTTGAATATTAGTCATGTGACAAATCCCACGACTTCTAGGACCTGTCTTTCATTTTTTAATGTGTCACTACAGCTGTGTCACTACTTGGATATGTTGATTAACTCAAATATACACACCCAGGCAGCTTTCACTTCACACAGCAGCCAGCTCTCTGAGCCCTGTGCCACTTTGCATGACCCCAGTATTCATGAGCTTAGTTAGCACAGCACCCGACACAAGGGCTGCCCACATATATATTATATATATATATAATTCTAGAAAAATCTCCTGAGACAGCAAATTCGCAAAAGTGATACCTATCTTGTGGGAGGCCGCTCTGCATGGTGTGGGCCCAGTTCCCACTGGGAGATGCACAGGACCCACGCCCACGGATAGGTTCTCCTGTGGGGAATCAGGCCTGCAATGTACCTAGGCCACTATGAGTCTTGCTTTTTGCTAAAACTCCCTCACCCTGAACTGAGGATATTTACTGCAAAGCAACTTCCTAAAATCCATGCTAAACCTTCCAAGGATGAGTGTAACTGGTTCAACCACTTTTGCCTTTTCATTTGCAAATATCCCTCCTCTGTGATGTGATTAACAGCATCTTCTGGTTTGTTTTCTGTAAAAGGTAACCACCTAAAGCAAATCTGTGCATAGTAAATGAGGACCATCATGTAATGGGTGGAGAAACTCAATAAAGGCCTGTCATGGCGGAGGCCAAGGCTTTTTGCTCCCCTTGAGAGAAAAGTCATGCTGTCCCTTTTCCTCCACCGGACTCGGTAGTCTGTGTGAATGTCTCATTTCATCCATAGTGACGAGGACACTGCGAGCCAGTGTCTCCATCACTATCTTATATTAAACCAGGAAACGTTTTAAAGCTACTGTAGCTCTTCAAAATTTTCTAGCTCTCTTTTTGGACATATTCATTGATAGTACAATCAGCATTTTATTAAGACCACACTCTACTTACCTGTGTAAGTTAACTCTACAGTAATTTGTACCCACCTGATTCTGGTACCATCCTCAGCAGCTACATTGTTCATATTGCATAATTCATTAAAAGGCAGCATCTCTCCAGGGCTCAGAGCTTTCCCAGCAGATTGCATTTCAGAGCCAGCTGTGGCATCACTGGCAGATTGGCACCTCTTTAATGCAAAGTCTCCTTCCCATCCTCCAACCTGTGGACTAGGTGGCTGAAGTACAGAATTCAACAACCCAACTATCTGGGCAGCCTCACGGAAAGGGCAGATTTGCAAGGACAGAGGCCCAGGAGAGCCAGAAGATTACACTAGATATCCCCCTCACATTTAGGGTCCTAGGCATCTGAGGACTGTGAGATGCTAAATCAGTAAGACAAAGTCCCTGGCTATCAGATTGTGTGAATTAACATCCTGGTTCCAGAGTATGCTAGTGTTTTTTCTGTATTGGCAATTTACATAATTGTTCTGTTTCATTTTTCCAATTTACAAAAAGAGACAATAACAGCTATTTCATCACTTTCATTGTAAAGTTAAAATAAGATAATTATGCATAGTAGGTAGGTAATATATTTTGTCCATAATAATTAGCAGTAGTGATGGCAGTTTAATCATTGAGGGGACTCATGACAGTTATATTTCTCTGTGGACATAGTGGCCCAGATTCCCCTTCAGCAATCAATTAAGTCCCTTTGCTTAAGGTCATTCCCATTCTGGGGACAGCTCAAGGCTGATGACTGACACATACAGTATAGCGTTGCCACCTTGGTCTGGCTTGGGGCAAAGCTGAAGTGCCCTTCTTGCTCCAGGACTCCCCATGGAGTTGACCGAGGTTGCTTAGTGGGAGGCTACATTGTATGTTTCTGCCCAATCCTGCTTTCTTCTCCCATCTTCTTCCTTTCTTCCTGTCCCAGCCCCTCTCTAGTTCAACAGGAGTTGATTCCAAGTGCACTCCTTGATAAGAACCCTGCACACCAAATCCCACCTCCGGGTCAGGTCAGCTTTACAGAATGCACCGCCTTTGACAATGAGATTATAAGACGAAGAAGTCCCCTCACTCTGATGTTGCACATCTCGGCCTAAGGCCTGGGACCATCTGAGCTCACCTTATGTCAGCCTTTGCCATGTTCTAGGGTGTTTTCAAGGTCATAGTAACTCAGTAGTTCTAGGAACTGGTTGGCTTCAGGGTATTTGCCAGTGCCTAGGGTACCAATCATACTTCTCGTAAGGGGATAAAACAAAGGACGGCCGTGACCATCTGGGTGGAAGTACTGCCCATGGCCCTGTGTCTGGTTTAAGTGTGACGCTAGCAGTCCAGCCAGTAATAGACACCTTCCCTTCCAGTGATCAGTCACTTGGCCATGGCCTCGGAGTCACAGAGGTCTGGGGGTGTGGTAGAAAACAGAGTTCTGGAGCTCTCTGAGGGGCTAGAGCGAAGCTCCGGCTGTTCCCATGAGGAGTGCAGATTTGTCCACTGGTAACAAGTTGAATTGGTTTTGTGCAGACGTACAGATTTTAAAATTTCTGGGGACTCTATCCTTCCTACTTAAAGGAATCCAACTATTTCACTCTTGCAGTTTCAGACTCCCAGTCTATTTTATTATCATTTCTCGTATGTTGCCTACAGTTTTTAATAGCTTTACATCTACATGTCCTTTTTGTATAATATTAATATCTCTAAGTTCAGGGACCTAAATGCTTTTAAACAATGAATTACTCTCTTACTGGATGACAATTAAAAAAAGCACTTGGAAGGATGAGTGAATGAATTTTAAGGAAACAAAAACTAGTCAATTCATATTGCAACCAAAGTTACCTTTTTAAAACACACACTTTGCTTAACAACTTTTCACTATTTTTCTTACTATGCCTTAAAAATTCTATATAACCTATTTAGCTTTATGCCTTACTATCCCAACTCATCTCCTCAGTACACACACACACACACACACACACACACACACACTTTTCAATTAGTTTAAGACAAAGGTCAAATGTAGCACTCTGGTTTGGAATACAGTCTATTTTTTTCCAGTTTATAGAGGCTGGAAAAAGCCTCTATAATTTGCTTCCCTCTTAATTAGATATTGAACAAATTGATAAACCACTATGTCTGCTATCATGTTAGAAGAGGTAACTAATTTCATTTAAATTATCAAAATATATCATTGTGTGCATTGGCTTTAGATAGAGGTCTGTCCTTAGGTGAGGCGATATATTAAAGTTACTGCTTTCCTTGTCACATGTGTTTTCTTCTTTGGAGTGTTTCTTTTGCTTTAGGAAAGCCTAATTTTGATGAGTTGGTACACCAACAAAAGGAATTGTAGGAGAGACTTGTAGAATTCTTTCTTTATATTGTCTCTGTAGACTCTGGGGTATGGGGTGGGAGTCTATAATACAGGAGGGGTGCTAGAGACATTTCTGAACCTCCATTGTACCTTTGCAAAGCTATACCTCTCTTTCAAATGTGAGGACAGCCTATACACAAGCCAACTCCTCTCTCAACATGCGGTTCACAGGTGTCATTCTAAAATAGAAGAAAATTGCTGTATAATGTATAATGTAATAAACAACTATGAAGAGTTTAAAACTCTTTATCCAAGTAACAGGAAGATTTTTCCAAATATATCATGCCTACTCATTGTCAAGGAATTGTTGCGCGTGGGTCCCCGGCCAGCAGTGACCACGGAACGCTGAGGATGGCTCGACTATAAACACGTGAGAAAAAAATGACATGCACAGAGACAGACTAGTTTCTGTGGGGAAGTAGGGACGGAATGGCCACCCCCTCTAGTGGGGAGCGTGCCGATTTACAGTCCATACCTGCTTTTATTGGGCTCACTTTCTGCATAATAATTCAGGTAAAGTACAGTACTCATTAGGGGGAAGTAAGGAAACTATAGAAAACAAAGAACTCTGCCGGTCTATTGAGTCGGGGGTCAAAGAGCTGTAAGACTGAGGAACAAAACTAACTTCCTCCTAAGACCCTTCTCATTCAACTGAGAGCATTCTAAACAAAGAAGGTTTCACAGTAATTTACACGTTCTTTCTTAGGCCTGATCACCCCGGGGAATCTGCACTTCTCAGCACAGAGCTGCACCACCCTGTCATTGTTTCAGGCTTAGGTGGAGCAAGGGAACTAGGCAACTGGGAGACAAGGTGGTTTTTTCCCAGACGCTAAGAACTCAGGCTATGTCAAAGCTGAGGAGCGAGGGTCCATCACCCCCTTTTGCTGCAGCCCCCCAAATCCTTCTTTTGGGGGGCCTCCCAAAGTGATCGTGCCTGTCTTAGGTCGTTCCCCCCGTGGGGAATCTTACCTGTCTTTGGCTAACCGACCAAGCTTTTTGGGGTTCAGTCATGAATAAAGCAGCAGAAGCAGCATTCCTGCCAGGAAGATAAGCTTTTGTCTCCTAGCTGGTTTACAGTTCCAAGGGCATTCCCTTAGCCTTAGCCTAGGCGGGGGTTTCAGCTTCTGATACCAGTCAGGGTGGTTCCCAACAAGGAATGATATAAGAAAGAGAATAAAAAGTAAGAAAGCAAGGAATTAGTCTTGACAAATGGAGAATCTGATTCCACATTGCAAACGTCAAACTTGAATTGTATCTGTCTTGTTTTCAAAGCTGAATGTGTTTATCATGGAAGTTAATATTAAAAACAAATGGATAGTTTGGAAAACAAAGCGTTGAAGACTGTGTTTCCCTTTTTGATTACTAGGATATTTTAGCTCCAGATTACAAAGTACAAAGTGCTGCGAACTGAACTTCTGCGTTCTGTCCCGCGGCCTTGCGTCCCGTGCTGACTTCGCCTCAGACAACAGCAGGCGTGTTAGTTTATAATAATACTCAATTTGTAACGATTGTTTTACTTTTTATTAAACACAAATAACATGTATCTTGTCTTAGCGATTGTCTTTAAGATGTTTTCTGATATTCAATAAATAAAATATCTTAAATTTTTTTTTAAATAATTTGTAGGGTAGAGAAGATTTCTTGAAAAAACTCACTCGAGGTGCAGTGGCTAATGGAATGAAGATTCAGGTGATCCTAATTTGCTTTTAATATTTTATTCTTCCTTTCATTTGCATTTTCCATAGTATTTTAAATTTGTCTGTAATGAGGCATCTTTTCACTACTTGGTTTGCAAGCCAGCAGTTTTTTCTCCTTAGCTGATGACAGTTGCCCTCTGTGTACGACTAGCAGTGTCTGATCATGCAGAAAGAAACTGACCTCCCGTATACATATCTCATTTTGTGGCTTAATGGGAATTTCTGCCAGCCTAGTAAAAGGGCAGTGGGATCTTATTCCTAAATGTCTCTTTAGTTTACTTTGTGATGATGTTATGTTTTCTTTATTTTAAGTGTCTTTCGATTGAATTTCTTTATTTAACCCTGAAATAAAAATGTGCTATGATTTTTCTATGAAAAAAAATTGAGACTAAAGCATTGTAGCCAGTAAAATCAATTTTTACTTTTGTATCTTTATCTGTACTACCTACATGTCCTTTGAAACCCAGGTTGGGTCTTTTGATCCTCGCCACCTTTCTAGAATGCCTCCTGTTCAAAAATATATAAATATTTGAAATTATTATTATAAGAAAAATAAAATAAAAGGGCAAAACAATCCAAAACAATGTTATTTTTCAAGATTATTTGAGATTGTCTGCACCTCTGGTCCTCTTCGAAACAAACACAAATTATGCAATTTTTTTCTATTAGCATATTTGACATTTACAAACATATAAAGCAGTGTTTCTCTACTTCTATGTGTTTGAAAATGCCAAATTTTCTGATTTATTTATATAGTTAGTATTCTATAATCTCTCACCCCTTTTTGCTTACTATTTTGTTATTAAATCATATTCATTGGTTTCATTTGGTCTTAGATTTCAAGAATTACATATTGGGTTGGTCAAAAAGTTCTTTTGGTTTTTCCCATAAGATGGTTCTAGTTGTCTTTAATTTCATTCAAAACAATTTTGTTAGGTTGTATGGTGACAGCTGTATACCATACATGCTGCATGATATCGGTGTGCATTAAAAGAAAAAACTTATCAGAACTGGTAAATTTTTGTGTAGCCATTTTAATATTGAAGATGGAAGAAAATAAGCAACATTTTTGGTATATTATGCTTTATTATTTCAAGAAAGATAAAAATGCAACCAAAATGGAAAAAAAAGAAGATGGAAAAGGTGCTGTGACTGATCAAACATGTCAAAGTGGTTTACAAGGTTTCATGCTGGAGATTTCTCACTGGACGATGCTCCATGGTCGGGCAGACCAGTTGAAGTTGACAGTGATCAAATTGAGACATTAATTGAGAACGATCAATGCTATACCATGCAGGAGACAGCAACATACTAAAAATATCCAAATCAATAGTTATTGGTCAAAATGAAATGAACTTTTTGGCTAACCCAATATATTTCAATATTTGTCATTAGTGTGTTCTCTAATCTTACTATCTTCCAATACTTACTTAAGAATGTTTTACTTTTATTGTTTATTATATTTTTCTATCATGATTTTTCTAATAATGTGTATACTTTAAAAATATGTCATATTCATATCTATTGTGTTTTTTGTGGTAGCATTTATTTTTTGATTTTCAAATAATAGCAAATATTCCTGCCTGGTGCAAGAGGGAGACAATGAATGTTTAGATAGTTAATAACTGAATGAATTATTTTAAATCTTTGCTGGCAGAAAAAACTGTATGCTCTGCAAGAAAAACAGATACTTGAAAAGCAGGATCTTTTGAGAAGGAAAGTAATGTATTCCTTAGTACTGGCAGAAACACAATCACCTCTAGGTCAAATGGAAAATGATGCTATACGGATCAAAAATGTCCACCAAGAACAGTCTGAGGTAAGTGTTTCCAATTAATTCAGAAACAAATTTGCAGGAATATTTAGATTGGTAAATTATGTATATGATTTCATATCATTACTTGGAAAATTATGATTTCATATAGGAAGATGTAAAATCATGAACAGAATAAATAGTCCATAAGCACACAAGTGATCTACAGTGGCACTATGTAGGACGACTATTAATATCATTACCTGGAACCCTGGTAATGTATCTTAGAGTGTACTTATGGAAAGCAGTTTTCAAATAGGTGAGTGATGATTTGTTTGGCATGATTGCCCACTATGGTACATTAAATTCAAAGTCCTCACTGTTCATTAATAAAATGGTAAAGCTATGTTTACTCAAATATAAAATATAATGTATCTTGACATTTTCATGGTACATTTTTGATGGATGTAGAAAACAGGTTGGATGACAAATAAAGCAAATGTTGATAAAATATTCTTAAAACAACAAGTTTATGGCAGTAACTGATATTACTAGCCCTTCCCAAAGAAAAATGTAGTAGACAAAATATGTATACATAATGTCATTAGTCTTTTGGAGAAGTAGAGGGTGTGGTAAGAGTTGTACATTCTTGTCTTTTGCTGCAGGGAGTGCATACATATTATTCATTTGGGCCATTTTGAAAATGGGATTTTTTTCATTGCAAGTAATGATGTAACTTTATATTCTGGTTTTTAAAAATTATCAAAAAATTTGTTTAAAAAACTTTGTGATTGCAAACTGTTCCTATTATGAAAGTTTTTTTTCCTTCAAAGCCTCCCTGTAGCACAGGCAGGAGACAGTTTATCTGCATTATAGACTTCAGAAAATTGAGACCTAAATGCATGAAGCAACTTCTACAAGTCCATAAAGCATGGAACACATTCTGAGTGTGTCGCCCTACTTAGGGCTTCTGAATGCTTTTCCTGGAGCTCATGGAACTAACACCTAGAGAGATGAATGGTTTTGATAATGACTTCTCCTTACATTCATGATAGAAATTTATTAATTGTATCAAAAGTCTCAATATAATCATTTGAGTATAATAATAAATTCCAGAATAGATTAATGACTTTTACTTCCTCTTATTTTATAATAGTCATTGTTCTATCTTCTTATAGTTTAGTAATCAATTTTTTTTATTTTCATAGTTTATAAATTGTAATAAATCTTAATTTAGCAAAAACTCTTAGAAAGAATAGTTTATATACACTTTCTGTAGTCATTACTGAAAATTTGTAGTGGACCTTTAATGTTGGTTAAAATATTTTACATATTGTGATGAAAATTCATAATTTCTATGAGTTTAATAGTGTTTGTTACTTAGCTAAAATTGATATGATTGTTTTCTCAAGTAACTCGAATATTGGGGTTGTGGATATCATAGTATATTTTTGTAATTCATGTATGGTGCTCCTTTGACTTTATATCAAAATATATATTGTTATTATTAAAATAGTCACTTGGGATATATTTCATTTACACCAGGATAATTGAATTGTAAATGCTACATATCTTAATTTCTGACTGTCTCCTAGATACTATATCAGATAATTGAAAAGAGAGACTATGTTAAAAAAAATGTGCAACAAACAAAGAAAAAATTGCGAAAAAAGGGGAAGAAAACTAAAGAAGCACTAATAGAAACTGAGGTAAAGAATTTAATATGAAAATATTTTAATGTACACTTTACGACCATAAAAACTATTGAAGAAAATTTAATTTTAGATGGATGTTTCTCAGTTCTAATGGGCTGCACTAAGTTGATTCTGCATGTGCATACATGTGTGCATTCATGCACACTGTCTCTGTGCTCATTTTCTCTTGCAGTGTCTTCCCCATTGATCTAGTGTGTCCCCTGTCCCTTTTCCTACAGAATAGAAGTATCAATCTGTGGTGTAGTAAATAGTGCCCTGTTTTTACAAGTGAAGCCAGTCTACAGAAAGAAACATTTGTTAATAACTGACATCAAAATTTTCCCCTCAGACTGGTAGGTAGGCAGCATGAAGAAATGGTGGCATGTCAAAAGGTTTCAGGGAATTTTCCAAATTATAAATATTTATTCCCTAAAAATCCTTACATCTAATACTCTGTCTTTAGAGAATCATTGGATGTAGTGAAGTGGAAACAGTCCATTGCCTCTGACTCGCTGTCCTCTGGATGTATTTTAAAGGCAGCCGCGATAGGATTTGTGGTTGGTCAACACAGGAGCCATGAGTTAGAGATACGATTATATCAATTTTAAAAGGTTTGCCCTGTACTGAGCCACCAAAACACATAAAAATATTACCAAAGAAAATGATAATATTTATAATAAAACAATGGGTTATTAATATGTTGCATGTTTTCTACATGCCAGGCATTGTTTAGAGTGCTCAGGCACATTAACTCTTTTCATCTTCATGACAACTCTATGAAGAGTGTGCTATTATCATGTCCATTGTACAGTTGAAGCATCTGATGCCTTGTTTTTTAATAAGCTTGTTCATTTTCATGGAACTCATTAGTGTCGAGTAGAGATTCACTATGTTTGACACTGGGCTCTGGAATAATCTATGCTCCTAGCCATTACTTTATACTAGTCAGATCTTACAGGCTACTTTTATTGACCACATAAAGTAAAATCAGAACTTGATAAGAAATATATAGACTACTGGAAATATTTTGTCATATTTTTATTATTTATTTGCTTCTGTGTTAAAGAATACTTAGAAATACAAATTACATTTATTTATAGATGACTGGTGATAAATTACAGAGCAAAATTAGGTAAAGATCATACTTTAGTATTACCAATGCATTATTTTATAGGACAAACTAAAAGTATTTGGCATACATATTCAATATTAAAGGAAAAAAGAGAGAAAATAGAAATTAACAAAAATTGAGAAAGAAAAATAGGAAAAATTAAAAGAGACATCATTATATGTAGAAATGAAGGAAACTGCTGTTTTGCATAGTAATTTGTTTTAAAATCTACATGAGGTATATATTTCATCTATAAAATATTAGTGATGAAAACTAGATGAAGAGAAAAAACACAGCAATAGACCAATAATTATGAAATAAATTTAATTTGTTCAAACTCTGCCACTAAGACACAAAGAAACCTGGGTATTTTACAGGCTTCCTGCAAAGGCCGGGTTCACAGCATAAGAAAGAATGAGAAGCTTTTAAATTCATTCTATGATAATATAACCTTGAGACCATAAGTTAAAAATATTAGCATTAAAATGTATAGGTGATCTCACTTATGAATATAGATGACAAATTCTTAAATATATCAGCAAATTGAATTTTACAATGTGCTAAAAAGAATACATTATGCAAAATAAGATTCCTTTGAAGAATATGGAGATGATTCAGTATAAACAATTATATTAATATAATTCACTACACTTGCAGAAATGAATGACAATTAGCCTAAACTATTTGATACAACTCTATAGCCACTAATGATTTTTACAAAGACTCTTACCTGTCTAGAAATAGAATGAAAACATCCTTACCTTGACAATATGTGTCTACCAGTATATTCCACCAAACATCATTCTTAATGATGAAACACAGAAAATATTTCCATTAAAATCAGGACAAAATATTCACACCAGCTGTTACTACTTAACACACTATTGTTATCGACAACAAATCACTTGTCACATGTCACAAGAGATAAAAAATATGTGTTCATCACTGTATTAGGAAGCCACCACAGTTCTTATGTCCTTATCTGAATATTAACTTCAAAAATATTAACTAAAAATTGCCAAAGGTGGCATATGTAACAAATATAAACAAGTGCCAAAAAATATGGCTGACCATTCTTTGTGCACATGTGCTCAGTATTACAGAGTGCACTGGAAGTTGGAGGGTTAGAGAAGAAGAGTTAATGTTATTTGTCCTTTAAATCAGTTTGTCTTTCCAATTACTATTGAGCACTTTAAATACATTAAATATTGTTGGAAGTTGCTGGAGTTGGGAAAGTAAAAGGAGAACTTGGTTAACTCAAGAAGCACGTCATTTTGTTGGAGAGCAGACAAAGAAACAGACAACATTAATATATTGTGTTCAGAGCCATTGCCACCATGAGTAACGTGCAAGAGGGTCGTGGAGGAGGGAACCGAATCAACTGAAGGAAGCAGGGAAGGTTTTACAGAAGAGTTTTTGCCTAAAAATGAGAAGACTACCAGAAAAAAATGGAGGTTGCCATAACATTGAAGACAATAGAGACAATATACATAAAACTCCTGAAAGAACAATAATTGGCACTGGAAATACTTAACAATGGCTTCTCTTTGTATTATTATTATTATTATTAGTAGTAGTAGTAGTAGTAGTAGTAGCAGCAGTATATAATTTTTACCTTGAAGCAATGAGGTAAGTGCGTTCTAGAAACAGACACTATGTTTGCAAAGCAAAGATGTCATAGGAGAATGCTGTATGTTTGCGGAATGGCAGTAGTTCAGCAGAGTCCCAGAGCAGGGCAACTGTCACAGAAGTGAAAGGAGATGGAGCTGGTGAGACAGGCTATCCCAGATGAAGAAACACTTTATGGGCCATGCCCACATTTTAAAGAACCCCATTTTAATGCGAACCCCATTTTAAAGAAACATGCAAACTGTTGCAATATCAAACATCACTAATAGCATTTATTAAGTGCTCATTATGTTGCTTGGTATACAATCAGTACTACAGGTGCCATTTTCTGTCACCTAAGAGCTAAGCTCTAACGCAAATTTTCTTTACCATGCATAAGCATTTCAGTCATGTGCCAAGCTGAACAGTGCTAATAAATTTTTGCTACTTTTAACCCCTATTTAAATCTTAGGTATAGAATTTGAACTTATTACATCTAGATAACATTATATTTATTAAATTTTCATAAAATTAAAATAAAATTTACATTAAAAATTTAGACTCTGAATATAATCTTTATTACTTAATTATTAAAACATGTATGATTTGAAAGTTTTTCAGATAAAGGAATGATGAAAATGTTGTATAATAAAATATTAATTAACTGCAATTCAGATTTCTAGACTTTTCCAAGTCTGTACATGAAAGTACCTTTGGGTGTAAAGCCTCCAAATTGCTGAAACCTTTGTCACCCAGGCTAGAGAAAAAAATACCCCTCCAAATAGTCAAATTATAAATTTACCATTTTATGCTCCTATTCCCTATTTGCTCTGGTGATGTTTCAGCACTCATCAAAAGACTTACAAATGGCTCTTGGAGTCTTCAAGCTGTTGTTCACTCAGAGATGAACATTTATACTTTTGACATGTGGCACCCAACAATTTTTTCTCTCCAGATTCAAATCAATGTGGGGACATCTCTGATATTTTTGATGCCATGGAAATAGATATACTGCTCACAATTACAAAGCCTCAATGATGGTACCTATTAAAGGTACCAAAATACAATTTTTGTTTTTCACTGCTGTCTGCAGGAAGCACAATTTCTTTCTTTCCTTTAGTGTAGAATCTTCTAGCACCACCTTCACTTTGCTGAATTGGCTACATGGTCACCATTGTAAGTGGTTGACATCATTGCTTCTGAAGTCTTCTCAGTTTCCCATGAGAATCTTCATTCAGGATTAAGGCATGCACTCTGGCTGGTGTGGCTCAGTGGATTGAGCACCAGACTGTGAAGCAAAGGGTCTCTGGTTTGATTCCCAGTCAGGCACATGCCTGGGCTGCTGGCCAGGTCCCCAGGATGGGGTGCGAGACAGAGAACAATACATTGATCTTAAAAAAAAAGATTAAGGCATGAATTATGGAATCTCCCCTGAAAGTCAAGCTTCACGATAGATAGCATGTTGTGTTGAGAGTTGCCCGTTCTCTCTGACTCCTACCTACTTACCTTAATGCATACTTTTGCCTGTTCATACTCTTTTTTCAGGTTGATTTTTTTTCTCCCAGTAGTAACAAAATATCCTAGTGGATCCATTGAAGAACACTGATCAACCATCTTTCAACTACATTCTGGTATTAACAAAATGAACAAACAAAAACCAGCCTTTATTTATCAGTAGAAAAATTCTAGAACTTCCAGAAAAAGAAAGAAAACAGAGAATATATTTAAATTCAAAGACTGTACCTAATGTTCAAAATCTTGGACAAACAGCAGATTTTTATAGGAAAATAAATATGAAAGATTAGCCATTCTTGAAACCTTTAAGAGTGGAGAGCGAATTGGGAAGCAAATGGAGGAAAATGGGAAAAAAAAATAGGAGCATGAAGCAGTTGAGATCTGTGGACTCAGTGAGAAAAGTAGCACTAATTAGAAGCAATGCCAGAAACAGGGAATGACCTTCAGTAAGTTAGTCACCCAGTCAGTAAATTAGTCAGTCAGTATATGTACCAGCAGATATGAAGGGATTGTGCAATAATCAAATCTCCAACCGGGAATTGCATGGGCCTGTTTGGGACATTGCACTGGAATTAAATATCAATGATTTTTTTAAAAAGACCAGCACAATATATGTCCTTTCCCACCTTCACTGTACATGTTTGAAAACCAGTAGCCATATGTTTGCATCTTGAGAAGACATGACTCTAAGGTATGTGTGCATGGGAGAGTGGGAAGAGACTAGTGCAGGGAGAGAGGGAGTGGGAGAGAGAGAAAAAAAGATGAGGGAGACAGAATAGATAGTTCTAATCTATCTTTTACAAAATCTCATAAGATGTAACAATGACAAAAATAATGTCAAAATAATTTAGTGCTTACATAGAAAAGAAGTCACTACTTGCTTTGAATTTTTCATATAACCAAACATAATTATCTTTGGTACTCTAAATCCCAAAGATTTAAAAATAAAACATCCCGGAATTTGTTTTCCAGGAAAGATACTCAATAATATTTAATGAAATAGCGACAACTAAAAGTAAAACAGTGGTTTATCATACAAAAATAAATACATTGAATAAGGACCTGGAAGAAAGAGAAGAGGAAAAGAAAAATTTTGATAAGATACTTGGCAATTTGAAGTAAGTTCTTAAATTGTATCAAACTACTAAATGTTTATTATTTATAAAAGAGATAAAATAAAATTTCCATTTTTAAAAATAATCCATATTTTCTATCATAGTTTGATGTGCTATGTGACAATTTTGGTTTAAAAAGAGAATCATAAATTGCTTTTCCTTTTTACTGTTCCCCCTTGGTTTAATTTGAATAACTGGGAATGCTTCTCTTTTTCCAAGTATAACAATTTTTCTTTCTTATGATATTAATGGACCCTCCCACAAATTTTAGTATTTCTCACTTACTGACATAGTTAATAACATAAAGATTTTCACTCAACTTTTTTGATAAGTTTTGAGGTAACAGTTTGGAAATAGATGTTCTACAAAACCTCACGTAATTTATTCAAAAGCCTCTTTTCCAGTCCCCGTATTAGTCAAATGCCCCATGTGTGACATGACAAGGGTTAGCAAAGCCTTTCTCTTGAATAATTATGCTTAAGAGCCTTAGTGTGTCCATATACTCTCATTTAGAACTTAAAATATTCTTCATTTTCTCCCTCTTGGTTCTTATTTCCTATTGTGCAATACATTGGAAATGGCTTGGAGGGCTGTTGAGGGAATACACATTGGTCACATTTAGGAATTGTGCTTGGATTTAAATACACAAGGCTAATACAGCATTAGTAAAATCATACCACTCAAGGAGTAAAGTCTCAGAGAAATATTTATGCACAGCCTAATGCCATATACCTTAATAGAGTTGTGTCAGTGCACTCAAAAAAAATTTTTTTAGCTATTACCATAGGGTAAAAACTTCTTTTCCAAATGACCATGTAGCCTGATCTGAAAAAGACTAAATCATATTCAGTAATCATGTAAGAAACCAAGGAAATACTTTGTGGTATACTTTGCAAGACATTTATCTACATTGTTATCTGTAAAAATATTTTGGAGCTCAAAGGTATCAACCTAAAATTATATAATTCACATTAAACTTAAAAAGATCTAATTTGTGAGCTGGAGACTTTTTTTTCTTCAGAATTCGTACCACTTCAATCCTAGCATTTTCTTCCACCCTGTGGCTAGATTATATCGCCCTTGAGACAAAAGTGGATTAATTCATGTCCCAGTGAATTAATTCCCTCTCTCAACCTGACAAAATCTGCCTTTCCACAGGAAAAAGAAAAAGAATAGATGGCCCTGTGGCCTTGCTTACAAATCTATTAGTTAACAGAGATAATGGCAAGTAATATTTAAAGCTGCCATTGATTATCTTCCTAACATGCCAGGCGCTCTGCAAGGAAACCTGTGTACCTTATCTCATCCAGTTCTTACAACAAATCCTTGAATTTGGTTATAACATTCCCATGTGACTGCTGAGTAACAGAAGTTCAAGGAAATTTAATGATTGCCTCCAGATTGCACAGATAACTAACTGGTGGTAGAGCTAGCTCCAGGTTAAGTCCATCCTGTTCCAAAGTGTTATTTCAACCATCCAAATTGGGTCCCTAAACCAGGACTGGAAAGGAAGATTATTGCAGATAATCACACACAGTACCTGTGCAGTCATGTACTGCAAAACAATGTTTTAGTCAGCGACTGACCCCAGGTACAACAATGGTTTCCTAAGGCTATAATGTAGCTGAAAACTTCCTACTGCCTGGTACATCATAGCCATTGCTAATGTCAACTCAACACACTACTTGTGTGTTTTTGGTGAGGCCACTGCAAACCAACCTACTGTGTTGCCAGTCATATAAAAGTACAGCACATACAGTTATGTACAGTACATAATACTTATAATGAAAATAAATGACTATGTTACTGGTTTATGTATTTATCATAGCATACTTTTCATTATTTTGGAGTGTACTCCTTCTACTTATAAAGCAAAGTTTGCTGTAAAAAAGTGTGCCGTCTTTGCTGACAGCAGCCTCATACATCTCTCTTGATCATCTCCTTTTCCCTGGTGCCTGATTTAATCTCCAGTTGTTTTGCACAGTGACATGCTGCACAAGTTGCAGGAACAACAAGCTCCAGCATCTAGCCTGGACATGTATGTAGATGGCTGCGCCATCTAGCTTCGTGTGAGTGCACTCTATGATGTGTGCACAATGACATCAGTGTCACCTGACAACACATTTCTCAGAACATATCACATTGTTAAGTGGCACATGACTCAAGGATAAACTATTGGTACTTTCAATAGGTGACCATGTCAAGTTAATCAGTATTTATTAAGAACCCATAGTGTGCGTAGAGCCAAGCACCAAGAAGAACAAAGAATATCAGGTGGGAAAGTGTATTTTTTATGTGTCTGAAGATATTTTCAGAGAGGCAAACCTTGCATATGTAAAACAATTGAAATATGTCGATAAAAAGAATAGTTAACAAGGCTCCTCTGGGCTCTCACTCAGTTTTTACAACTGTTTCTTACCTAGAAAGTGAAGGGGTCCAAACCCAGACACACAGGACTCCAGTGTTTGTCCTTCGTCACTACGAGAAAGGAAACACTATTTTCATGCATACACACACATCTGAACACATGTAGTGTGCATAACACATATGAAATTAATACGATGCTATATTGAGTACAATCTAATATTAAAATACTTAGTGTGGAGAATAAAGTATATGGGATCAAGATATAGTGATGTTTGCTGGGAGTAAGTATGAGAGTTTTGTCTTTGGTCATGCCTGCTCCTCCCTGTGTGAACTGGTTCGCCATGTTTCAGAACATCCAGATTACAGAATACTTATGGTATACAGGACATGACATAAGAATTTTGGATGTTGTTTGTGTAAATGATGAAGTAGAAAAACCAAGGTCAAGGCAGATGAAAAGAGAGGGGCTTATTTCATGCAGCAGCAGAAGTTCGCATGTAAAGTGTGAATGAAGAGTCACAGTTTCAAATTCACTGCTAACAGTCATAGAGGAGAGAAGAAAAAAATGAGTATTTGAATGCTGAGCTGCTGAATCAAACAGAGCCAGACAGAACTGGATTTGAATTGTCTGTCATTTACTAATTAGCTTACACAAGCTAATTATATTGAAGTTCAGGTTCCTCATCAGTAAATTGCTGTAATAATTATTCTTCCATAGGGTTGTGGTTATATTAAATGAGATATTACATTCAAAGCACTTTAACATTTCAGCCCCTCAAAAATTTTAGTCCTGCTGTCTTTATAGCTAACTGTGCAAATGATTCAATTTTCTATACCAGTAGAGACGAAAACGGATGTGGGTAAAAGGCTGTACTGAGTTTTTGCAGCTCTGCTTATTCTACATTATGAGTTGCTTATCAACTCTGGAAATTATATCTAAAGTATATTTATTTTTGCACTATTGTAGTAACCACTTTTTAATGTTTATTCTACTACTGTTGTTTTTTACTTTACTATTAATTTCAGTGTAAAAATTATTTTACCTCCTTGTCAAAATGTACTTAGTTACATATGACAAAATACACAGAGACATGTACATGCATGCATGCACATTCATGCTCACACAAACACATTTGCACACCAGCTTAAACAATAGGTGAATGTATAATATAGAACAGCAGGCTCTGGGTGAGGTGAGCTACAGGGTTGGTTGATTCAGCAGCTCAACACTACGTACTCATTTTTTCTCTCTCCACTACACCTTTGTCAGCAAATTTGAAAATACGATTCCTTGATTACACTTAGTGGTTGTGAGCCTTTTCCACATGCAATTAGGTCTTTGTCTTGCATCTTATTGAGCTATTGTAACATACATTATTACTCCCGGATAATCAGTCACAGGGCTGGTTGGCTTAATCTAACCAGAATGTGTTTGGACTTACATGCTGCATGGAGGAGGAGGTCTTTTGGAATGCCAACAAAATAGAGGCATGGTGGGTCAACATCCAAGAGAAGCCACTGGATTTTGTCAGAGATTTGCTTGCACTTGGATCTCTTAAGTGTAGCTCTGTGGAGGTAATAGAAGGGACTGGGAAATTTTCCCAAAGCCCTCTGGTTCTAAGATTTTTCAATATTGGGTCTTTAAAAATGTATCATAAGTATATTTTAGGAAATAAAATATACGTTGACTAGTAGTAATTGCAATTCTTTCTTAATAGGGAGCAATTTTTAACTATAAAATTTAAAAAGGAACAAGCACAAGCTGTTTACGATCATCTCATGAGTGAGCAGAAAGCCTGCGAACAAAGGCTCTCTGAGGAAGGACAGAAATATAGAAATCTCCTTGCCATGAGGCAAAAAACTCTGGCAGATATTAAAGTAAGTATTCTTTTTTGACTATTTTAGAATGAAGGAAATACAAGGAGAGTCAAAGTAGCAGAGAGTTTGAAGCACTCATTTTGCATCCTGAGTTAGCAAAGATGTTTAAAATTTAAAAATAAATCTGTTAGCATAATAAATGTAACTTTTCATTTTTCCTTCTAAGTAATTATAATGTATTCATACAACATGTGCTTTTCAGTGCATTTAATGTGTATCCTGATTTTGTCGTACTTTATTTAATTTGGAAAGCTACTGCTTTAAAAGTATAGGAGGGGTGGAGGGATTGAGCAGGAAGGAAAAAGGACTCATGGACATGGACAACAGTGTGGGATTGTGTAAGGGAACTAAATGATAATGGAAAACATACACTAAATAATTAAAAATGAAAAAAAGAACTTATACAACTAAACCCCTCCCCAAAGTACAAATAAACAACAAGTGATGCGATTTAAAAAATGGCCAAAGGACCTGAATAGATGCTTCTCCAAAGAGGACATGCAGATGGCCAGTAGACATATGAAAAGATGCTCCATGTCATTAATCATTAGAGCAATACAAGTTTAAACCACAATGAGATATCACCTTGCACCTGTCAGAATGGCTGTCATCAATAAATCAACAAACAACAAGTGTTGGTGAGGATGTGGAGAAAAGGGAATCTTATGCACTGTGGGTGGGATTGAAAATTGATGCAGCTGCCATTTAAAATAGTATGGAGGTTCCTCAAAAAATTAAAAATAGAACTCCCTTATGACCCAGCAATTCCACTTCTGTATATTTGTCTGAAGAAATCCAAAACACTAATTTGAAAAGATACATGGACCCCCATGTTCATTGCAGTGTTACTTACAATAGCCAAGATATGGAAACAACCCAAGCACCCATCAGTAGATGATTGGATAGAGATGTGGTACATATATAAATGGAATATTACTCGAGTGTAAAAAAGAATGAAACCTTACCATTTGAGACTTGTCAATAAGCCTAGAGGATATTAAGCTAAATGAAATAAGTCAACCGAGAAAGACAAATTCCATTTGATTTCACTTACATATGGAATCTAAAGAACAAAACAAATGAACAAACAGAAAAGACTTATATTAACAGGTACAGAGATCAGACTGGTGATTGCCTGATGAAAAAGGGGTTAGGGGGCTGAGTGGAAAAGGTGAAGGGATTGCAAACTACAAACTGACAGTTAAAAGGTAGTCAGGGAGGTAAAGTACAACATAGACAATATAGTCAATAATGTCAATGTCATAATAACTGTGTGGTGCTAGGTGGGTACTAGATTATCGGAGGATCACTTCGTAAATTATGTATATGTCTGACCACTATACCATATACTGCAAAATAATATAAAATAATGCTTAATGTCAATTATAATTTAAAAATTTAAAGAAAAAACTATATGTTATATTTATTCTAGAACTATTTTTATATTTTTAATGAGCTATGTGGGAATATTTACATTGTGTATCTGAATAAACATACTTGGAATGTTTACTAATCACTTGTTTAAAAATGAGAATATTTTGTGTTCTTTTTCTTTAGAAACAATTTTCATATGTTTTAATTGCACTTACTAGTTAGAAACAGGGAAATTATGTGAAAAAATATATATTTTCAGATCTGAATTTTTATTGTTTTGTAAAAATATACATATTAAAATTTTATATAGATATGACTAAGTGATGTAGATTAAGTAGTATAGATTACTTAAGTGATTCTTATCCAATTTCACATTTTTACATTTAATTGTAGTAATAAATGCCATGGATTTTTCAATATATTTATATTATTTATTTTTGAGAGACACATGGCTATATCATAATATACTTTTATCAGCTACTTTTGATCCTGATATTTATATATTAAATTACTATATATATTTAATATTCTCAATTACTTTTATTTGTGTTTCCAAAGACCTTGATAATATATTTTTTTAAAGATTATATGTGATAGATCATACATTGAATAAATAGGTATGTGAGTGAATGAACACACACTTTTTATTGCTAGCTCCGGGCTTGCCTATAAGATAAATATTAATAAAATAACAATACTTTTATTAATAATAATGCTAAGTAACATTCTTCCATTTAAGATTTAGCCCTTACCTAGAAAAAGGTTTTGTTTTGTTTTGTTTTGTTTTGTTGGCCTAATAGGAAAATAATTGGCGCCATCTAGTGGCAGTAAACGATGCCTCCTCTTGGAGGAGGTGGAACTCATGGCTGGATCTCAGAGACGTGATATGTGAATGGCTGGGAAAGCTCAGACTCGGCCGTGCCCCTCAAAACAAGAGGGCTTAAGTTATTTACTGACAAGCATCATTCCCCGCCTCGTATTTTATCACAGCAGTAGAATTAGTTGTTTGAATTCAACCACATTTTCCAATCGTACTGGTGCTGAGAACACAGTGGGATCTCAATAATCATTTATTGACTAGCATTTCAACACTTAATGGAACAATAATAATTAGTGAAATGGCAAAATATGGTCAGCAGGAGAGAGACAAAGAAAAAGCCCTGTATAACTGGCCTCTCAGTAACTGAGATTTGTATTTTTTCTCATCCCAAAGCCTGTCCCTGTCTTCCCATTCTGAAGTGTGCCTTGGACACATCGCATGCTCTTTTTTTCCCTTAGTACTAATCTCTATCTGAGCTTTTTTTTTCTCATTAATTTTTACTTATTCATATCTGATTTTCTGAAATACCCTTATGGTACATTTTAAAAGACACAAAATCTTATGAGGATGGGAGAGTTTTCTGTCACCGTCTCTGTATCCTAAAAGCTCAGAACTAAACCTGGCATAAGGGAGGCACTCAATCAATACTCATTCAGTAGCTGAATGAATAAGTGGATAAACATATTCTTATTTGGTGATTTTGATGTCACCATGCATGGCAATGGCTACAGGCAGCAGCCTGTCAGAGATACGTCCCATACTGCACCAGCCTGACACTTCAGCGAGGGCTCCTGCTGCATTCACTCTCTCTTCCTGATATTATGTGAGTTTACTACTATTCAGTCTGTTCCCTCTAGGTGAAAATGGTTAAATTGTCTATTGCTTCCTAGTAATTAAAGGATTCTGCTAAATATTTCAATAATGCTTCTCAAGTAACCTTGAATTTATATGCAATTTTCTTTCATCAGTGCTTGGCTAGCAGTTTGTTATGCATTCATCTCATGTGATCAGAAGCATAGAGTTTGAACATGCACAGTTTAGTGACTGTATCTCATCATTAGTGGCACTGTTTAGGGTCAGTTATCAGTATCAAAGAGTAGAAAGACAAAGCAATCCTTCATAGAAAACCTATTCTCATCCTTATTTAGAAATTAGATGATATAAAAATTTGTCAAAATGTGTTGTGAAAAGCATATTTAAAATCATTTTATTTTATTGATTGATTTGAGAGAGATGAGAAAGGGAGAGAGAGAAACATCAACTTGTTCCACTTAAGCTTTCATTGGTTGATTCTCATATGTGCCCTGACCGTGAATCAAACCTACAACCTTGGCTTATTAGGACAGTGCTCTAACCTATTGAAATACCTGGGTCAGGCCAAAGAAACAAGTCTTATTAGACATTACTGTGTATGTGATGTTACTGTTCTGGGGGTGTCCCCTCTGGACAAAAGAATTGATCAAAGTTATGGATCATTTGAGGGAAATGTTTAACATAAGACTTTATAAAAGCCACAGTGGAATTAATTGAGGACTGAGAAAACACACCACAGAATTAGAAGTATAAATAGCTAATACAATAGTTCAGGAAAAATATACACAAACTTTAGATAACATATAATGTGGTTTGGGACTTAATTGTAGTCTTTTTCAGTAGATAATTCATGTCAGATATCTTTGAATGACAGATTTTTTAATGTCATGGACTTTTTACTGCCTATAATTTGTACATGCAGTTGTTTAAGATTAAAATGTCAGTGTAGCACCTAAATATATTAAGCAAAATACTAACAGATGTGAAGAGAGAAATAGAAAACAATACAATAATAGTAGGAGACCTCAATATCTCAGTTTCAACAATGGATAAATCATCTAGACAGGAAATCAATAAGGAAACACTGGACTTGAACTGCATGTTAGAACAAAACAGACATATAGAATATTCAATCCAACGGCAGCAGAAGACACATTCTTCTTAAGCACACACAGAATATTCTCCAGGATAGACATATATTAGGTCACAAAACAGATCTTAACAAATTTAAGATGATTGAAATTATCCATGTATAATTGTATACAATACAACCACAATTGTATGAAACTAGAAATTAATTATAGGATGAAAACAGAAAATTCTCAAATATGTGGAACTTACACTCCCAGACAACAAATGTAGAGTCTTCAGAGCCTACCCCTAGTAGTCAACAAGCTGAATTTTTTAAAAATGCTGAGATATAATGTAACAACTGTACACCCAGATTCTGTCTTCAAATATTCTCTAATACTTCCCTTTAAAGGGAAGTGTTTCATGAGTTGCCTTGCTTCAACTGACAATATAGTGGGTGACTCACCAATCTTCTCCTTGATTTCTATTCCCTCTCCCAAACTCAGTTTTTGCATGGTGGGTTATTAGGTACTTGTTTCCTCTTATATAGTTTCTATCACACCCCCAAAATCATCAAAAAATTCATTATAAATGCCACCATAATAGTTTTTCAGTCATCTAGTAATGTGCCACATTATTTATATATATAATTTGATGTCAGCCTCTATTAAGTCTATAATCCTCATTCCTTCTTACACTTCACTTTAATTACAAAAGTGCTTTCTTGAAACATATTTGCAACTTGTACTTTTATTTAACTTCAATTAATCCTACATAATGCTGTCTAATTGATTTTTCTACAGCCTGTCTCTAACCACATTGAACTCCTCAAAAATTCTTTATATCTCCTACCTGTTTACAAATTAAGTGAACTTTCCACTGGCTCTTCATGATACATCTCAAACCTACATTCTCAAATTTA